TGGGTACGGCTCTATGCTCCACAAGAAGTCTGCAGAACTAAGCAAATTTTTCATCAAATTTTATTTTGTTTATGAATCTGTTAACACTCCTGTTTAACACACTAGCCTCCCGTTGATCGTAGAATGAAATACAAAACATTTGAAAATTGAAGCTAAGACTCATAATCTTACCAGTCTTTCATTTTCACCTGTTATATTAACATTTTTTTAAACATTGTATGCTAATGCTGGTTTGGATAAATTAATATTATGGCCGCTAAATTTAACCACAAGGTGGTCAAACTCCTTGAGATAACTATTGATTGATGTATTATCGAATCTAACATTTCTATGTCAATAATGAAGATATTGTTTAAGGGAGATTAAAGTATGACTTTATTATTGTCAATACCTTATTTAAATAATTTCCTTTGTCCAAGATTTTCTGATTAAATTCCAATATTATTTCACAAGCCTTTCTTGACAATGATGGCAGGAGCCAGTGTTTTTTTGTTTTTTTTTTTTTGGAAAGATTTACGAAATGTCCACAATTCTACATTTTTTCTCCATGATTATAAGTAAAGATGAGACTGTATACTTATATGCTATTTTTGAAAAAAAAACCCAAAAAACTGGACTTCTGAGTTATATAAATGATTAAACTGTAATTAAAAATATAAATATATGTAAAAAAAAAAACATAAAAATAGAAGGGAAAATTTTAATTTAATTTTTTTGTTATGCTTGTTTGTAGGAGAGACTAAATCACAGATACAATAATAGTAATGCCTTCGAACAATACTCAGTCAGATGCTGCTAAATATTTTTCCTTTACCCATCGTGTGATCTAATTATTTCAAGATGAAGTCGACTGTGCTTGCTCTCTGGTGATTCATGTTCAAACCCAAGTGTCAGCAGCAACACTTTATTCCTATATGACACCTCCCCTTTGAGATGACTTCCTCTGGAGTCTATATTTCCTATGGTTCAATATTTAGAAATTTTGTTGCTATTCTTTTTCTCTTACTATAAAACCTTGGTTCAACTATTTGATTGTGTGGGTACATCAAACATGTCATACAAAATATCCATAGGTACCTCTTTTTGGGGACTTTTTAAATCAGTGAATCTGTATTTTAACTGATTAAGGTGTCACTTATGTTCCCACCTTTGTTCCTGTACCATGTATGTCATTTTGCCGATTCATTTTTTTTTTTATAATGCCGTCTTCCTTGAATCCTTTTCCAGATATTTCAAGATGAGGTCAACTGTGCTTGCTCTCTGGCGGTCTGTGTTCAAACCCAAGTGTCAGTAGTGACACTTTATTCCTTTATGACAATTTTCTATGTTGATAATTAATGATAATGGTAATATTGGCCATTTCCTTATAAGCAAACATTGGCATTCATTCACAGTTTGGTTGAAATTTATAAAATATTCCTATTAAAACAGTTTTTTTTTTTAAGAAAATAAACTTCTCAAGTCTACTATTACTAACCTTGCATTATTGATGGAGCTATATGTGCTATAGGTTTTAGTTGTTGCAAGGGATACCAAAAGCAGTTATCTCCTTTTGGCGGAGATGAAGTCACATGGGTCACAGGATGGCTGCTTAGTGATATCACTACATACAGTGACCTCAGTTTGTTTACAGGAGAGTATACTTTTTTAGACTGGGTTTAGGGGCTCGGGTTGAGGCTAAATCTGCCTCTTCCAGTACATGCTACAGCTTAGAAGCCATTTTCCTTTGGGAATCTATCTTCCCCAGATATATATATATATATATATATATATAAAACTAATATCTCTGACTTCAAGTCCTCAATTTAGGAAGACCCAATACTCACAGTTTCCTGTTCATAGAATATGTCCTCACTTGGAGCATAAATGAATCTGGAGTCCTAAACATGGTTTTTCCAGAAACACAGAAGAATCTTGATATATGTAAGAACCTATCTTTTCATTCTCCTTGTTGTGTTACAATCTCTCTGCATGGGACACGTGTAAATATGTATAGACATAATTGTGTATATGACTTAGCAGCATAAAACTCTGAGAACAAAGCATGTTTGTCATTTCATTTCCTTCCATCCATGGAATATCGTGTTATTATAGCATGGATATAATAATGCCCATAATAGGATAAATAAAAATGGGAGAATAAAGCTTTCTTCCAATAGCTCTCCCATCATATGATCAAGTGATGTAGTTTCTACGATTTGTTACAGTTCTTTGTTGGTGAATCTGTAGCACCAGTTCCTGAAATTCAAAGAAGGATGGTCCTTGCTAAAACCTATTTGCTCAAATTCATTTTTAACCATTCATTTGAGAAAGCGGTTGTATCCAGTTGACAATTTAGATTTTTCTGAATGAGTTGGATGCCATGCACGACATCAATGTTTAAGAACATGGCTAGAGTTTTTAGGTTAATCTTTTTGGTATTGGGTGAAATCAGATCTAGACATTCAGTTATTTTGAATGGATGAGAAAAGAAAATCTCTATTGATATGATCATATGCTGCTGTGAGGTCTACATAGCAGACATACAACTTTCTACTGGAGAGGTATGCAATTTCCTGGAGTTATTTGATGACATATATACTATTATTACATTCCTTAAAGCAAAAGCCAAATTGGGTTGTTGACCTACTTAATACAATATTCACCATAATGGTACTAGTTCAGATAACCTCTGTACATGTGAGGGTCTTGAGACTAACTTTTTCTTTCCATGATGCATTAATGGATGATATACTTGGAATAATTAAAAAGCAACTAGTAACTCTTTCTAGAAATCCAACCAATTCAGTTTAAAATTGAATTTAATAATAGATCAGTATATACTATTTAATCAACAAGATGACTTCCATATGGCAGCAGCATACTTCAAAATTAGTAATTCATTTTGTGATTTTCTCACCAAAAGATGATCAAATTTCAATCCTGTGACAACAAAGAGGCTTTGCTGGCATTTCTTAAATCTGATGATGAGAAATGAAGTGGATATTGTAGGGGAATAGATGAATTTAATTTTAATAATGACTGACATGTTGACAATTCTGGTCGTAGGCAAATGTATACCGTGTGCCATTTAATGATCAAAATAATTAAACCCAGATATTCATGAGTAAGAGAAATCTCCTACCATATAATCTGGACCTAATGCTACCAGAATATATGTAATTTAAATGGGTTGTGTCAATCACTGTAAGCGTTTTGAAAAGCAAAGGAAATGTTTGTCGCAGATTAATTCCACAACGCAGAGAACAAATCTCTGTAAGTTCAGACTCGAATATCAGGGGCAGAAAGAAATGTCGAAAACTCGATTTGCAGGTACTATCACACAAATCCCAATGCATGTAACTAGTCAGAAAAATAACTCACTTGCCGACGAATGCAGTAGCCAAGATACATCAGTTTTTCCTCTTGATTTGAGAACACAAACTGCTTTTATTGGCCAAGCAGTTTTTTCATTCGTCGACAACTGGGAGAGGACGCCAAGTATTTTACATAACAAAATACTTTTATAGAGACTCCTGTGACGGACTTGGTTTTAATCTAAATATTCCGTCTTCAGCATGTCATGCGGAATACATGCCCTTTTTTTTTTGGTAAGTAATTTACGCGACGCACTGTCACTTGGTTTGACAAGGTAAGTCACCATTTTCTTCGCTATAATCACTTATAAAATGAATTTAAATTTGAGCTACTTTAAAACTGGCAGAAATTAGAAATAAATTAGTTTGGAAGGGGTTAACATCACCCAGAGTAGAAACACTTCTTATTTTTCAGAAAGCATATCTTCAATTAAGTTGAAAATAAAATATAATCATGAAAATATGAACAGGAATCAATATGTAAAAATTTTCTTCAAATTAAAAAAAAAAAAAAGCTCCCAGGCATTACTTTATTTTTATGTTAAAGTATCACAAATAATCTAAATTCAGTGGTAATGCTATTATTAACTATTTCCTTATAAGGAAACATTTGGTATTCATTAACCAAGCTGCCAATGACTATTGTTGGTTGAAATTTATATAATCTTTCTCTTAAAACAATTTTTCTGGAAAATAGGTTCCTCAAGTAGCTGTTTCCAGTATTGATGCGGGAGGGGTTCTTTTCTAAACTATTGTTTGAAGTAGTGTGGAATGTATGTCATTATTTTATCTTCAAGTTACATGTGATATCCATTTTAAGGTGTTGCTGTAAGTCATCAAATGATGTCATTTCTGTTACAGTTCTTTCTTTGTGATTCTGTAGCATAAATCCACAAGATTTTAAAAAAATGTGGTCTTCACATGGAATTAATTTTTAAACTAGGAAACCATTTTTTTTTTTTTTTTAAATAAAAAAACTTAGAATTTCTTCATTTTTGAGCAAGATTAATCTTTTATGCTTAAGTCTAATAAATAGGATTTGATTGATTAGTTTTTCATGGATCATCAACACATTTTGGTTAATCAAACACAAAACATATTTTAGACTATAAGAATAATTTTTTTTCTGTGAGTAAATATTGAATTAACAAACAATTTTTTTAGAGATAAGATACAAGTCTTACTACGTAACCCATAGCTGGACAAGAAATGAATTCATATCTTTCTCAAGGGTATGTGCATATAAGTAAATGTAACAAACTCAACTGGAATTCGAACTCGGCACTCCGATTTCTCATTCCAAGGTGCTATTTATTACACCACCTGCACATTTCTAATAAATAGGAAAGAAAGATGTTTCAATGTCTAAACTAGTATTATTAGAATTGTTGAATACAGTATTAAATAATATCTATTTGTTTAACTTTACATTTACTTTTCTTCAGTTATTTTTTGTTTTGAGCTGCTTCATGCCAGTTGCTTAAGATTTAGTCAAATTTGAGTCAAGTTATATTTTTTTTAAATCATATAATCCAAGATTTTAAAACTGGCACCATAAAATTTCAATTTCAGTAGACCATGTATTGAACAGTCATACAGCAGTGACACAAGAAGGAAGAAAAGAAAGAACATAAAGCAACTTACAGCTGACTGTAGTCCTACAATCAAACCATTGTTATCATAAATGGGCTGTGATAATAAATCTTGAGGTCGCCGATACAGAAACCCATGGTAACTTTTTGCTGAAAAAACAAAAAAAATTTTTTCCTTAATAATAGCTTTTCATTCAAGATACAAAAAAAATAATACTGACTAATAACATTTTTTGTGTGCTTTTATTGTATCCTTAACTTTATTTAAAAAATATTTTGGCAGGTTCATTCTCCAGACATTTTAAAGATTGCAGAGTTGATTGAATATAATTGGATTTTGTAGGACCAGAGAAGCCATCTAGAACGATTTAATGACAATAGAACATACCCTTAGGTGCCTAATTGAAGGCAGGGACTGTTTATTGGGTGGTGGATTTTCTGACTATTTCTAGACATTGTTAAGTGATCTTTATAAACTCAGAAAAAAAATAGTTGAAATTTCTGGGACACATAATGAGAAAAGAAGGCTTGGAAAAATTGATGCTCACAAGACACAGGCAAAAAGAACAGAGGGGAAACAGTGGAAAATTTACCTAATGATGACAGAACAGATAAGAGGAGGGATAGTAAAAAGACAAACATTACCAAGAATGACAAAGAATAGGAAGTTATAGAGAGCCACGACTGTCCACGTCCTGAAGAGACATGTCACTTAGAAGAAATAGGTTCAGTAGGTGGGGGATGCAATTTGGCAATTTTTGATCTTTCAAATGATTTTCTAATACCTCTTATTGACCCCACCACCATCACTTATTGCAAATTGAGAAAAATTCTTCCTCCACCCTCTAAGAATAAGATATGTTTTGTTGCTAAGAAACAGGCAAAAAAACAAAAATAAAATAGAAATAAATTTTATAGAATAATATTTCAGTTTATTTATTCTCCAGCTATTTTTTTGGAAATTCTACTGAAATGAAGAAACCATGTATGTGAATTTAATGACAATATTTAAGGTCAAATTCAGTATAACCAATAAATAAGACTTTACATTGTTAAGAGCATTGAATTTGGGCATGGTGCAAATGACTAGTTTTTATTTTACTTTTCAATTAATAATAATTTTATTAATTCTTGACTTTGATAACAACAATAAACCTTCAAAAATATCTGAAAGGCAATGGATATGCAGCATGTTATTCAAATTTAACAAAATAGTTAAAAAAAAAGGTTTGTTTTGTGTGTTTTTTTAACAAAATTTCTAGCCAGTATTACATTTTATTTACAAGGAATTCTTTATTTGCTGTATTAATTCTTTAGCATTGGAAAGTCATCATTTTATACTGCAATGGCTAATGGGATATGAAGATATTTAATTGACAAGTTACAGAATCTGAAAGGCTAATATTTTATGATTGGCTATGTAGCCTCTTATGAGTGCTGCTCTGCAGGCTTCAACAACACTCAAAAAGTCGCCTTTCTTTATCAACAATCTTTATTACAAAATATGAATCAGAGGCCAATGAAAATTTATTGTTTGCTTCAATGATATATCTTAATTGCTATAGGCATTTTCAACCAGTCTACAGGGTGTCTGCATTTTTCACTTTACACCCATTGTTATTCTAAAGTGAAAGCCAACTCAGAGAGTCCAGATTTTATGTGTATTACCCTAAAGTTGTTTTCAAGAATTTTATGGATTGCCTATAATTCCACCATTTTAAATACATCTCATTTTGAACAAGTATAATAATAATAATAATGTTCATATTCAAAATTTTAAAAGAAATTTTTAAATAAATTCATACAAAAACAAAGACCATAAAATTCTCTTCATATTCCCAAGCAAATTATTAGCTTATATAAATACCAATTGATATGAAAAATATAAAACTAAAAAAAAAAAGGTAAAATTCTTACCAAAACAAACTCTAAGTAAATTTATTTATTTATCTCTATCAATCTTATATATATATATATATATATATATATATATATATATATATATATATGTGTGTGTGTGTGTTTTACTATATTCTCATGTGTCTGGAATAGGTAAGCCTGGCCAGCTATTTCAGTTTTGATTATTTTTTCCACCCCTACCTAATGTTATTCTAGATATCTCCTCCATTTAATCCCTCGATTCTGTTTTGTTTTGTTTTTTTATTTCAAAAACAAATTAATTTTGAAATAATTTTCCAATGTACCCTTTTATTCCATCCTCCTTATCTATTCTGGACTTTTCCTAAGCTGAATGTTTTGTTTTTAATGATATATAAAAATCTTAGACACATTATGTTATTTATTTTACTTAGGTAAATATTAGAGCACCTTTCCATGAAGCAAGATTCCGAAGTCAAAGAGCACCAGATCTGAACTGAAAGACCTGGATGATGCAATGCTTTGCCAAGAAAGAAACCTACACAATACATTGTTATAAATGCAACATTCAAACAGTACACAGGTTAAGTATTATCTAATGACCAACAGTGTAACCCCCACAGGAGAATTTCTGTTGACATCTATGTAGTTCTCTTTAATTGGTTACCAAATTACAACATAGTTGTCCAAATGATTCTCAAGATATTCAAAATTGACTGGATATTTTTCTGGAATGAGTATGGTTTTCACACGTAGATATTGTATTTTTGAATATAAAAGCTCCAGAAACAAACTACTGAAATCCATTGCAATGGTTGCAAAATGGATATAGGGGTTGGTAAGTCCTGGGATCAGGTTTGGTTTGGTTTGCTTTATGGCATATCAACCTCAATAGGTTATTTAATGCCAACAAAATATTTATTGCTCATAATATACATATTTTTTTCAAAAATGTTTCTAGTAATATCTTTTTTTTTTTCAAAAATGTATTGCTGCTCAATTTTTTTTTTTTTGTTACAAAATATTCCTGGTATAAACCCTATCTTTGCACTTTCACAGTGCCTTGACCCCAGCTTGGGGGGTTAAATTATTTGCCAGCAATTAAGAGGTAGTTCCACAATTCTCAAAATCTCCTGATCAGAGGCCTTGCTGTTGGATGTATTTTATCGTCTTACCCACGACACATATGTAGTTTATTGTCATACCCAGGACAGCCTGGGATCAGGTAGTGTAACACTTGTTCAGGTGAAATTAACAATGACTAGCATTAAAGGGACAAAATAACACAATAATTAACAAAACACAAGGTACTTGGTCAATACTTTGTGTCTATAACTTCTACAAGAAGCAAGATGAGAACAATAGTTTGAAATAACTAACGCATATATTTAAACACACACACACACAGTTATATAAGGAGAGAATCCATTTCAGCTGAAAGTAAGTAAGTAAGTATCTACTTCAATATAAGGGAAAGGATAATATAATATCAGTTTTAGTAGAGAAGGATTTTTTAGTCAATTGTATCATTGTGGGCAATGTAGAAAGTTTTGACAGTATGTCAGACAGAGTAGCTTAAAGAGTAAGCAGATCATACAAATGATACATTGGAAAAATAATCCAAGTATATACACCAACTTTGAAAAGTTAAGATGAAGAAACTGAATAGTTTCACGATAACATTAGTAATGTTTATTTTATTATTATTATTATTATGGAGAGGAAACCATTTAGATGGTCAACTTTAAGGACGGCAAGAGCAGGAATATAAAAAATATGAGTGAGAATCTAGTTAGGGAAAATTTGAAATTTAGTTAACTTTTCAGATAGACTAAATGATAATGAATGCATTTTTTCCAAAACAAAGTTGTAAAAGGTCTTGAACAATTTAAAATTAAGAAACCGACTTTGTTACTAATTATAACGATATAACCATCTTGAATATAGGAATTGTATATAGAATAGTAAATTGCAGTCAGATTGAACTTCAGAATTGAGAGAAATGAAATGAGTCTCAGGAAGAAAATCTATCCTAATGCAATAGCATTAGGTTATCAGTTTGTCTAGGGATATTTTTTGTGTTTGTGATATATATATATATGTATATATACCCAAGTATATAATTGGTGTATATGGAATGAATTCCAATAACCAACAATTACTATTCTTAAAAGAGTGCTCAATACAGAGTAGAGCAGATATAATTATTTATTTAAAAATGTCTTGGGTCAAATGTGTTTTCATAGTCAACAAAAATTAAGTTAAATTTAAGCTACTCTGTCTGTTAAATTAATTATGCTAAGCCATTCAACATCATCACTTGATAAGACACTGGAGGTGTTGAAACAAAATGGCTATTTTTGTAGTGATTTTATAACATATTTATGTTATAATTTTTTTATATAAATAATTATATATATACATATATATATATATATATATATATATATATATGTGTGTGTGTGTGATAAGTTGTAGTGGAAAATTTATTGTGATTGCCTGAGGTTTTTTTGAAAGAAGATAATGTAGTGTGTTGTATGCAATGCGGCATATAGTTCAGTGTAGATTAAAAAGTTCCCCTCCCAGAGAGGAAACAAAACACGTCTTGTCACTACAGCATCTAGTGAGTGAAGAGTAAAAGAATTTCAATCTTTTACTTTTATACTGCTTTATACAATGCCACTTAGTGAGTGTTAGAAGAAGTCTTCTGGCAGACAAGATAGAGTACTATCACACTGATAAGGTCAGAGAGAACATCACCAAATTTTACATAGAAATGAAGAACTGATTCCAGGCTTTGAAAAAACAACTAAAAAAAAACCAACATAGAATATAGGACAAGCAAATTGGTAACCATAATTAAGGATGCTGAGGAGATAAGAAAAACAACTGGAAATAGACAAAGAGGAGATAACTCAAAGTGAAGACCAGAAGTTATAAAAAAAAAAAGAGTAGAAATGGGGTCATAAACACTAAGAGATAAAAGAGAAAATGCAGAATTAGAAAAACTAATTTATACAAGAATTAGACACAAAAAAGAGAGAAAGCTTTTCCTTTCAAATGTTATCAGGAAAATGAAGAGCTTGATACATGATCAATCTGCAAGAGATGTTAAGAATAATTGAAAAGTACTTGGAAAAACATTTATAAACAATAAATCAACTGATTGGGAAAGCAAAGAAAAAAAAATCTACTTTGCTTAATTTTATTTGACTATGAAAACATGCAGCAATCATAAATACTCTGTTCTCACATTATATGTAATTTCTTTG